ATGTTATTTTAAAAAGGTTTGTCGTCGTAAGCTTCTTCAAGTGTACAACAATATTCTAAGGCAAATGAGAGAGATTTTAATTTTCATTAACATCTTATATGATCTCAATGGGGATCAAGGTCCAGAATTGCACAACCAAACTTGATCAATCAAAGGGTTTGATTGATTAGGAAGCTTTTGAACCAAGAACTCGCCAAAACAGGATTTTGGCTAAGGATACGTATGGATTGAATCGTGTAATTCCACACTTGGGGAAAGGCTCGATCAATTTAAGGTAGAAGCTCAACCACAATCAAGGGGAAAACTTGATTGATGTAGAGGCCACTCGTTAGGTTGGAATCCACTAACAAGAAGAGCAAATTTCACAAGCTAAATGTGTTCTCCTTTTACAAAATATCTCTCTCGCTCGACTATTCCCATATCCCCGGGGATGACCAGCAGCGGCTAGTTCCAACAGTAGCGGCAACATCTCACCGCAGTCACGCCGCGCGGCGCCACCTCTCCATGTCTTTGCTTCTCCATCCCCTGTTTTTGTGCCATGTTAGAGAAAAAGGGAGAAAGTGAAGGAATAGGAAGAAAGGGAAAGGAATGATTCTGGGCACCGTGTTTTTGTCGGAAGAAGGTGAGAAGTCATCCCCTGGAGTCGAAATCTCGTTTGGAGGTCGTTAGAAGCCTCGCCAAGACTTCTCAGAGCTTCGCTGGAGTGTCGTCAAAAAACTAGAGAAAATTCAACCATTCTTCGAGTGGTAGGTATCATTTCAAAGAGCACAACCCCAGGATCATCGGCGTGTTAACGGAACTGATTTTCAATGTTGGATGAGGGAGAAACGAGCATCAGAAGTTTGGAACAAAAATCCGTCAGTTCAGGTACTGTTTGTGTTAATTCAAAAAGTTTGATGATATCCCTGTAATTTGTCAAAGAAGAGGTCAAAGATCTCATGTTGACTGCGAATTACAAATTGGGTACCTAATACTTTGGAAACTGACATTATTTTTACTTTGTTCATAACTCGATTAATTGGAATCCAAACGAGGAACTGTCTACCCCTACGGAATCATAGAAGCGAGGAGAATATTAAAGGAGTAGTTTTGAAATTTACAGAGCCAAAGCAGATTTGGTCTCGACCAAAATAAGGTGATTGTACAAGGGGGTAAATTCTATGCCTTATGTATTTTCAATTATTTGCCTTACGTGTTTAAGAATCGTTTTACACGAAGTTGTGTGTGTTTGCCTATGGTTATATGTGAATGTTGTGGCTCTATTGGTTTTATAGTAGAAAGATATGTCTATGAGCTTTTAGTATTTAATCAAAGTTTTTACGTTTTCGTTTGATGATTAGTTCACCATTTAATAAGTTATGGTGATAAGAGTAAGAGAATGTCACGAGTAAAGATAGGTAACCTCGCTGAGCTAGCCACTAGCTAGATGGAACCCAATCGGACGGTGATAGAGGTCAAAGATCTCATGTTGACTGCGAATTACAAATTGGGTACCTAATAGTTTGGAAATTGACATCATTTTTACTTTGTTCATAACTCGATTAATTGGAATCCAAACGAGGAACTGTCTACGCCTACGGAATCATAGAAGCGAGGAGAATATTAAAGGAGTAGTTTTGAAATTTACAGAGCCAAAGCAGAGTTGGTCTCGACCAAAATAAGGTGATTGTACAAGGGGGTAAATTCTATGCCTTATGTATTTTCAATTATTTGCCTTACGTGTTTAAGAATCGTTTTACACGAAGTTGTGTGTGTTTGCCTATGGTTATATGTGAATGTTGTGTGCTCTATTGGTTTTATAGTAGAAAGATATGTCTATGAGCTTTTAGTATTTAATCAAAGTTTTTACGTTTTCGTTTGATGATTAGTTCACCATTTAATAACTTATGGTGATAAGAGTAAGAGAATGTCACGAGTAAAGATAGGTAACTCGCTGAGCTAGCCACTAGCTAGATGGAACCCAATCGGACGGTGATAATTTTCACGGTAGTTGATCACTACCGGATGGTGATACGTTCCGCGGTAGTTGGTCGGGCATGGAGCCGGACAATGATGAGTTTCGCGGTCTCCATTTCCTAGGTTTAGGTGTGCTACCGAATGGTGTTACGTTCCGCGGTAGACACACTGCAGTTTGACATCAGATGATGATTCGTTTCCCGGTGGTCAAACCCATGGGAGGGGCACCCCATTTTGAGTGTAGCCATGTTTAAGTTATGCTAATAGTGTTGCCAACTAAGTCGAGGTAGGGACCCCAACAATGCAGTCAAAATCGCGCTTTAAAACTTAAAAGCTTACGGTTTTACGTTTCTAAGTCACCAAAATGATTTTGTTTCCATATGAAATTTTATTGTATAAAATCAAACTTAATTGCGCTTTAAACCTTAACAGCGCACAATTTTACACTTTTACTCTTCTAGTTCACTAAATGGGTATTATTTTCATGAAAGTAATTATAAAAAGTATACTTTGAAGGTAAACCGCCAACAATATGATACATTTGAGATTAAAAGATACATACCAGGTACTTGGATGCAATGTAGTAAAAAAACATGTTTCTACTTAGAAGCGTTTTGGTGATCTAGAAGCGTAAAATCGTAAGTTTTCAAGCTTTAAAGCGAATTTTTAACTACATTAGCTATAAAAACTGAGATTTTGCGTAAAAGCATTTTGGAGACCTAGGTACGTAAAAGCGTAAGTTTTTAAACATTAAAGTGAAATTTTGACTACATAGCTTGGATGCATTCTCGGTTTCAATAGATTACTCTTATTCACCAGCTAGGCTCTTTCCCAATTCATTAGCATAGAGCGGAAGGTGGCTTATTGTTAAGATCTATGTTTATTAACTTATTGTAAGGGTTGTTATCCGGTACCGGTAGTCGGCTGTCATTTGACATTAATCGATATACCGATAATTGGCTAACCGATTACTAGTTTAATCGGTAACCAACCGATTACAGTCCTACTTATTGTTAAGATGCTATGCCTTGCTCTACTTTAGACATTAATTGCGGGTATTTATATAACTTATCTAAATTATGTGCACTCATATTTAGATAGTATGTGTCGTACTTAACAAATTTTTAGCTATTTTACAGTATGCATGAAAAACTTACACATTTCTGCTTCTAAGTAGAAATGTGCATTGGGCCCCACAATAAGATAAATGATGAAATACCACGTTTTTCAAAGTTAAAGTTTATAGGAGGGAAGAATAATCAACTTCCACAAGTTTTGAGGTGAAAGCCTAAGAAAATACCCATAGGTGTTTTGAGTTTAAGTATACCGTAGACTGACCCCAACCCACTCACCAGATTGAAGACAAAAAATGAGGAACTTGAGGAGTAGTTTGAGAGCAGCAAGTTTGAGAGCAACGATTCGAGAGCAACCAACTAGACTACGGAGGATGCCGAGCCAAGGTTTTCAGTCAGTGACAACATTTTGAGACTATTTAGTTACTACACTTCATGATTATGTGTATAGACTGGAGATCAAGTTTAGATTTTAAGGGTTGAGTTTGCCCAAGTGTTAGGGCGTTGCTTTGAACTACAAGAGCGTGATTTCAGTATTTTATTTATGAAAATTTCCCCGCCGCTTTTAGTGTTTATGATAGATACCTAAGTGATTGAATAATTAAATAGACAAGTCATGAATGATCATTCATGAGTGTGATAGTCATTAAGAATACAATGTTCGATCACGGTTGAAAAGTTATTATGATTTCAAGAATTGAAAATTTTTGAAATCACTTTAATATCATAAAAACTTTAATGTCATAAAAATTAAGCATGTAATATAATTTGAAAAAATTTAGGATACACATTATAAATACAATGTAATCAAAATACATTTCGACCAACGGGTCGGACACTAAACTAGTGTAATAAAGAATTACTCTATTTATACTTACCCTTTTAAATTTACTCACTTATTATGCATCCACATGAACACCATTTATAGCCAATCAAAAAATTTCTCAACCTTTTCTCGTTTATTTTTTATAAAACCAACGATTTGAAATGAAAGAATAGTTTAATTTTTATTTAAAGTTTGCTTTTTAATTTTTCATTCGTTCAATTAGAGTGTACCACCTAGCACACTTTCTCTTCTTTTTAAGTTCTCTTATGAATCTTAATTGACTCGTATTTCTTTCGTTTCAACTTTGAACTTAAATGTTATTTTGTAGAAAAATATGATTTCATGTTGTCTACGCATTGATATTCATTTTCATATATATTAAAACAAAAAATCAAATACGTGGTCGTGATAATGTATTGATGAGGTCATCCTATTTGACAAAGTTATTAAAATATATAAATATCATTCAATTCTATAATATCATACACGACTGGCTCATAGTCATAGTCCACCATAACTCATGAAACACTTTCAAATTCTACAAAATTACTAAATTATATCAATATCATTCTGTTTTGTACCACCATGTAGCACAATATTTCAAGTGTGTCAAAAACATTTCAATCAACATAAACCAAATTATTATAAAGATGCGCTCAAAGATAATAATTATAAACGGGTTAATTGCAAGGTTGGTCACTGGGATTACAAAAAACATTCATGTTTAGTCACTACAAGTATTTAATTCCATTCGTGGTCACTATAATTAATTAAACAGTCAAAGTTTGGTCACTCTCTGTTACCTTCCGTTAGTTTCCGTTAATGCCGTCAGTTTTTTGCTGACGTGGCTAACAGAAGTGCCTAATCAGCTAATTTTAAAGAAGAAAAAAACAAAAATCCACCTGCCACATCATTTTAGTTAATCAAACATAAGTTACCCACCCCCACCCTTGACCCGACCCTTCCTCTTCTTTCTCTAATTGACCCAGCTGGAATAAATCCCTAATCGGCAGATTCTCAAACCGCAAATCTGATTTCCACGCGACGCCACCTCTCCGACGGTGGCTTCTTCTTCTTCCTTGCCTTGAACGACCTCTGTCCCACCAGACCCACTCTATTTCTTCTCCACGTTCTGGTGTCGCTGAATGAAATCGACGGAAGGAGCTACAACCCGCGGAGGTAACAAGGGATGGCAGAGCGAGAGTTGCGTTGTTGTTTCCTCTACCCCCGTGGTGATTCAAAAATTGGATTTTGCACGAGGAGAAAGGGGATGGAGGGACTGTGGTTGCTCTGTTCTAGGAAGGGGAGGAAGGTTAATTGCAGTAGGAGATGGCGGCCATGAGTTCGGCGAAAATGGATCTGACTTCGTGCTTCGCGCGCCGCCGCTGGCGAGGATTAGAGCGTGGAAGTCGAATTTGGAGCATATTTTGGTGACCATGTGAAGATGGGAATCGTCTTCGTAGTCGGCGTGGAGCTAGACGAGGTGAGGATTTGGGGAAACGAGGCGCGGGAGCTTGGGGTCGGTCGAGAGTGAGGGTGTGGGTCAATTGTTGTGGGAGCCTGCGATGAAGGAGATGCACTTGAAGACGACGCAGAAGCGTCCCCGGTCGATCTCCTCGCAGATTTGGTAGTCTCTTTTAAAGGCTTCACTCATCGCTTTCATTCTACTCGCTAGCAATCAACAACAATGGCAGATTGGAGGTCGCCGCAAGAACCCTCCTGTTAGCCACGTCAGCAAAAAACTGACGGCATTAACGGAAACTAACGTAAGGTAACGGAGAGTGACCAAACTTGGACGGTTTAATTAATTATAGTGATCACGAATAGAATTAAATATTTGTAGTGACTAAATATGAACGTTTTTTGTAATTCCAGTGACCAACCATGCAATTAACCCAATTATAAACTATATCAATATCATCTTGATTTTGTACACCATAATGGCAATGCACAATAATCCAAGTTTATCAAAAACATTGTCACTATGCATAAACCAAATAATTTTAAAGAAAAAATTCATCTCTTGCCAGCTGGCCGAGTTAAAAGCTAGTAATTATAAATAGCCTTCTCATCGTCTCTCACGAGAATCGACTCTCCAATAGAAGAAAACCAACGGGACACAATAGTGAATAGCCCTAGATAAGACTTGTTGGAATTCTTTTCCTTCTTGGACATCGAAGAAATTAAAGGAAGTTCGTATTGTTTTCAGCTCTATACTGATTGTTGCAATTTGCAGTTTCTTGCGAACTTTTTCCGGAATGGGTGCTGAGCATAAACCAGCAACCGAGGACGTAAAGATGGACCTATTTGAGGACGATGATGAATTCGAGGAGTTCGACATCAACCAAGGTGCCATCTACTTTTCCTAATTCCTCAGTCTCTGGATTTAGAGAATGTTTGACAGTGGAATTTCTTGTAAAAAGAAGATTCTGAAAACCCTAAGTTCAACAAGACAGGAGTTTGGATTTTGGAATGATGGTATTGCAACTAAGGTTCGATAGAGTTTGGGATTAGGGAGGACTTCAGTGATCAAATTATGGCGTAGTAGTATAGGATGAGTGTCCACTGTCTGCTCACCTCCTCCTGGATGTGGTTCAGCAAAGTGGGTTTTAGGGTCAGAGGCTTGCTGAGTGGTGTGCTGCACTGAAAATACATTGTTCAATCTTGATGGATGATATATTTGACATATGATGCATCATGCATACTTCTGTTAGTACATCTCTTGTGGTCTTTGCTTTCGAGTTGATTATGCTCTCCGGAGCGAAAAGCTTAGCAGCTCCATGTTGTTTATAGGCAAGCATAGGAGTAATTCATGCAGTCCATCTTTGTCCAGTTGTTACTGTGGGCTCTTCTAGCTTGCTCCAGGTTTTGGGATGCACTTGGGATTTTGTTGTTAGGTCTTGATGTAACTCGGTAGGACTGATTGATCCCGAATTTGATATTTTCTGATACTGTTGTCTTTTTGGTTCTAGCTATAGGAGGGAAAACACTGTTTGTATCTTCAGATGTCACTCATCTGTTATCCTTTCTAACGACTGTGTTTATGTAAACAAACAGAGTGGGATGACAGGGTGGAAGTAAAAGAGGTGACACAGCAGTGGGAAGATGATTGGGACGACGATGATGTCAACGATGACTTCTCGCTGCAGCTGAGGAGGGAACTGGAGACCAGCGTGGTGAAGAGCTAAGTCCAGCAGCTACGGTGTTCCTCAGTTAGGTTGAAGATTTGTAGTTTGGCGAGATGAGAATGAATTGACTACCAGAAGCTTATATTCTTCACGAACACTGGTTTTTCTGGACTGATATTTCTGTACTTGATTGGCGCGAACCCTTCTTACTGCTATTACTATTAGTGTTAATGTGTTAGAGGAGAATGGGATTATAACAATCAAGCCAAGGAATTAGATTCAGTTTCTTGATAACCTAACAGCTATTGTCCAGTACAGACTTTGATAAAAGTCAATGGCGGTAGCTCGGCCTTGGTGGCTGAATTTCTCCTACAGGTTCAGTCACTGCAAGCCAAATTGTCCTTTTAAAATGTAGCTTTACTGATGCCCACTTGCATAAATAAGTAATGGAGTCATCTCTTAACGGCAAACCAACTTGTGATACTATTATGAAATCTTTTACCAGTTTGTGCAGGAACCCTACTCCCAGTCGAGATTACATTTGCTGATTAAACATGTAAGAAAAAAGTAATCTTATTCCACTAAGTAGGTGGAGAAAAAATAGTAAATCAAGATGGTAAAAAAAAAACCCCCCAAAGAACTCACATCACTTGATGTTTGACCTGCACAAATCAGAAAGTAACCGCAAACCAAACCCAGCAGCAAGCAAGATTTCAACACCAACTAAGCAAAGCTGACTTAGTCAGGTTTCTTCCTATGACAATCCATTAATAGCGAGCTCTGATCATTAATGTGTATTAAAACTAAATTACTTGTCATAGTCTAATACATCACACAACTATAGACCTCAACATCCATCAACAGCAAGGGAGCTTAGCTCTTTGCCTGACCAGCATAGGCAACAGCGAAACAAACTCAAGGGAAAACGCAAGGTGGAAGAAGGCGAAAAAGTCCACCAGGTGACTGGTTCAACGGACGAGGATGTTTAGTTCAGATTGATTGCATAACAATTCATATATATATGTTCATAACCAATCCAGGTTTTCTGGCTCTGCAGTAGCAGAATCAGCATATTGCTGGAAGGTAGCAGAAGCAACGGCTAGCTCAAGTTACTTGGATGTCGGTATGATCTTTTAACCTTCATCTCCTCTATCTTGCATGATTCATTCAACTATCCAATTTGAATTGGTGTAGAGGACATTGAGTTAGTTCATTATTTCGATGATGGTTGTTGACCCACAATACTGTCTCTCCTGAGTTGTGCAATTGGTTCTTCTGTCTTGCGTTAAAGAAAATAGCAACTTCCCATTGATATATCTTTTGTTTGAACTTGTTATGTACGTGCTTCTGCAGCTCAACTCGGATTCAGCCCTGATTAATGCTATCGCTGAATCCACGTTGGCATCAACTTCCGACATCATAAAAACAGTACCGCGTCTAGTAGAATCACAACGGGAGATCTTCTTCGAAATTGGATGCTACATCTACCGCACTTCTTTTGCTGTGATGGAGTTGCAAACAACTGAGACCCCTCCGGAGAATGCGAGGGAGATCCTGGAATCACTTTCCAGAAGCATCAATGAGGCCAAGGATCTCGTTAGCGGATGCAGGAGGAGGAGCTTTGTGGAAGAAGATGGTTTACTTCCTTCCGATGACTCCGATATTAGAAGCACCATAAGTCAGCTGGAGGAGGTGATCAAACGTGCTGGCGAGATCTTGAGAAGCATCCCTTCATCAACCTTTATAGACAACGAATATTCAGAAATGGCTGTCAGGTCCATTGCTAGTGAGATGCAGAATGCTCAGTTCAAAGTTTTGCAGAAAGAAGAGGCAGCAGAAGAGCAAATGCCGGAAGAAGCACAAAGAGAGCCCATTGAGTCATCAGACCTCTATCCCACTAATGCTGATTTTTCAACAAATGATTCTCAAGTCTTGGACACGAAATTGCCGCAGTTGATTCAGTTCCTAAGGAGACCCACATCAAGTATCAGCAGGAACCAAGGGCTCAAAAACCACAGAAGCATATCTACTACATCATTTCCAGATATGGCAATCGAGCCTCTGTACGAGACATTCTGCTGTCCACTAACAAAACAGGTGATGGAAGATCCAGTTACCATACAAAGCGGGGTCACCTTTGAAAGGAAGGCCATAACAAAGTGGTTCCAGGACGAGTTTGAGAGCTCTCCTGAAGCTGTCTGTCCAGTCACTGCATTGAAACTGACCAATACAAGTTTGAGAACCAATGTCGCTTTACGGACCACAATTGAGGAATGGAAGGAAAGAAATGAGGCTGCAAAGATCAAGGTCTGTCGAGCTGCTTTGTCTTTAGCTAGTACAGCAAGCATGGCAATAGAAGCAGTCATAAATTTGCAGCAAATCTGCACAAGGAACCCATTCAACAAGATGCAAGTTTGCAATGCAGGCATACTGCCATTGCTTGACAACTTCCTGAGTCATAAAGACAGAGATGTCAGAATTGCAGTTCTGGAATTTCTCGTCGATTTGGCGGAAGAGGACGATGGAAAGGCACGGTACTTCGATCCTTACCCTTCAAAATCTTTATCATGTCACAAAAAAAATGAGCAAAGCTGTTGAAATGATCACTGACTCCAGGGTTCCCTCCTTATCTGCAGGAAATGATTGCAAAAGCAGTGGACTTGTCAGCAGTTGTGAGACTCCTGTCAAGTGGCCACCAGGTTATAAAGCACCAATCTTTGTTATTATTGCTTGAGCTGGCGAGATTGGAGACAATGTCTGAGAGAATTGGATCCATTACCGGGTCGATTCTGATGCTCATCAAACTCAAGTACAGCCATTCCCTAGATTCATTTGCATCAGAAAAGGCAGATGAAATCTTGAGGTCCCTCGGTAGGTTGCCTGAGAACGTAAAGCAAATGGCAGAAAATGGGTTTCTGGAGCCCCTCATAAATCAACTCTCTGAAGGTGAAGTGTTCTGATAACGCAAATATCTAGGAATTCAGACAACTAACTATTATACTGGAAACTCAATCAATTTTCACCCAACAGGCCCTGAGGAAGTACAGATTGAAATGGCAAGCTACCTTGGAGAAATCTCTCTCGGACATGAAAGCCAAAAGACCTATGTTGCTGACAGGGCTTCTCCAGTTCTCATCAGGATGGTGCACAATGGGAATGCACTGACCAGAAGAGCAGCATTCAAAGCTCTGGCTCAAATCTCTTCATACCATCCCAATGCAAACACACTCACTGAAGCAGGAATCCTCCACATTATGGTCGAAGAGATGTTCACCCGGAGAATCTACAACGAACCCATGGATTCGAAGAATGAAGCTGCTGCAATACTTGCAAATATACTCGAGGCAGGGGTTGAGCTTCAGAACCTCAAAGTAAACAGCTACGGCCACAAGCTAACTTCAGACTACGTGGTCTACAACATCATCCACATGCTCAACAACTCGACTCCTGAGGAACTCAACATCAACCTGATCAGGATCATTCTTTGCCTTGCTGACTCGCCGAATTCAATGGCTACAATAGTCTCAGTGGTTAAAAAACAATCCGAAGTGAGCTACAATCTCATCGAACTGATCAACAATCCTCACGAGGAACTAGGTGTTTCGGCCATCAAGCTACTGATTAAACTGTCTCCTTACATGGGGCACACAGTGATAGAGAGACTATGCAAGACAAGAGGTTTGCCAGAGAACTTAATCCTCGACGAAACTGCTGGAACGACAACTAGAACCACAGAGAGGCAGGCGCTTTCAGCCCTATTTCTAGCTAAACTCCCTCATAAGAACTTGACACTCAACTTGGCACTTGTCGGCCTAGTCCCAAGAATCCTGGACTCGATCAATCAAATCCAAAGCTCGGGGACAAGATCGAGCAGGCATTCAAGTGCTTACCTGGAAGGTCTAGTAGGTGTCCTTGTGAGGTTCACAGCTACACTGTATGAGCCACAGATGCTGTTTCTGGCCAGAACCCACAACTTCACATCGGTATTCACTCAACTCCTGCTGACCAAAACATCCAACGATGAAGTTCAGAGGCTATCCGCATTTGGGTTGGAGAATTTGTCAGCAGAATCAGTAAACCTGTCGAAACCACCAAAGACCAAGAAACCAACTTCATTGGGCAAAAGCTTCAGCATGCGAAAGTTTCTTTCCTTTGGGTCCTCCAAGAAGAGACGAGCCCCTCTCTGTCCTGTCCACAGAGGAGTGTGCTCCTCACAGGACACGTTCTGCTTGGTCGATGCGAATGCGGTGGAGAGGCTGCTGACATGCCTGGACCATGAGAACGCGAAGGTGGTTGATGCTGCGTTATCAGCCATATGCACTCTGTTAGATGACAGAGTGGACCTTGAGAGCAGCATCGCGATGCTGATCGGAAAGAATGCTGTGAAGCAAATCCTGCACGTGGTGACGGAGCACGGGAGTGAAGCTCTACGGCACAAGTGCTTCTGGTTTCTTGAGAGGTTCCTGGAAAGCGGTGCAGACAGCTCTGTTGGGGATATATCCATGGACAGGTCATTGCCTGCAATTGTGATTAGCGCTTTTCATCACGGAGATGGCAACACTCGCCAGATGGCTGAGAAGATTTTAGGCCACCTGAATAGGGTGCCTAATTACGGAACTACCCACTTTACCATGTAGAAAGAAGTCTTTGCGTGGATACAGAGATTATGTTTGGAGAAGCTAGCCAGTGTGTGATGTTTAATGTGAATATATAAGTTGGTTTGTGTAAGGATTCTTTCAGATATTGTTCCAACCGTACAGGTATTGTTCTTTCGGAGCAATTCCTTGCTGCACCGCCTCATCTAGCTCATTCGAGCTCACTCGATGCTTCCAGAAAAAGTTAACCAAACTAACAAACAAACAAACCAAACTATTACCCTTTCTTTTGGTTTGTTCTGTTGTTCATTTGTCTCTTCCTCTGTAATTGTGTTTGTGTTACTTGGATTCCAGTTAGGGGATTTGTCATAAAATCCCTCTTCATTGATGAATAAAGCTGCTTATTCATAAAAAAAAAAACAAAAACAAAAAAAAAACAAACCAAACTAACTAAATAGGGAAGTTACAAGTCATTCTTTTACTCTACTATTCATTCTACAACCTTTGTATTTAGTTATTGTTCCGCTACTTTCATGTGAGTTTTATGTTTTGACCAAAGTCCAACTTTTTATAGTTAATTAATTATTCAGATTTTGGAAATTGGAAAGCTCATTAATATATTTTTTATAAGGGTAAATATTTGTGCTTTTAAGCGAACACATGGAATGGTTAATTCGCTTTCTCTCGGGTGATGAGCCCAATACCATGACCGCTGCTTAGGGGGGCGGTTTGCAAAAGAACCGCTCCTTCCGGGCGCAATTTATCAGACCGTCCGGCCTCGGCACAATTTTCGATGAAAATCGCGCTCTCCCCAAATAGTTTTCGGAAAATGATGGTATTTTTGGAATTTTCGAAAATAGGTGGTATGTTTGAATTTTTTTTTAGTGGTATTTCTGTTAAAAATCTCAGGTTTTGCCCTAAGAGAGGTCTAGTTAATAAGTAGGGAGCTAAAAATCAGGTTTTGCCCACTACTGATTTGACTATAAGGAATAGTAATTTCATTACCGGTCCTTTTAAAGATCTAATTACTTGTCATTTTCTAATAACTACTAATTAAGGAATAGTAATTTCATTACTTGTTCTTTTAAAGATCTAATTTGACTCTAAGGAATAGTAATTTCATTACTTGTAACAAGTAATCAAGGGGTCCCGATAGTATAACGACCCTCATAGTGTTGTTATACTAACAACAAGGTTCATTAAGGGTAAAAAGGTAAACCCCACAAAATAACAAATTAAAATTAAAAAAATAAATTTTCAGTCCCCACCCACCCCCTCTCCGTCTCTCGATCTCTTCTCGCTGTTGCTGGATTTTGGGATCTGGTTACCGACCTGTGTGGTGTTGGTAAGAAAGGAAGCCCCAGAGCGCCAGCACCATCGCCACCGCCTTGACACCGCTCATCCTGTCGTCGAATATCACCACCGCCATGATCGGCGCCAGTGGCAGCCCCACGGTGCCGACGGCGTTGGAGAAGACGGAGCTCACCTCGAAGACCAACGCCATCGTCGCCACCGCGAAGAGCTCCCACGGCACGCTGGTCCAAACTAACGTCATCACGTAGCCAACTTTCCCGAGCTCGTAGTTTTCCATCTCCTTCCCGAGTCCCTTCCAGTCGCCGCTGGCGAACAGCCCTACCGCGCCGATCCCGCTCGCCACCATCCCTTGAAACATCAGCATGTTCATCACCACCTTCACGCTCTGCACCTGATCGATCAGAGAGGAAAAAAAATCCCAACCCGAATGAGAGGACTACTAATGGTGAAATCATCGAAATGGGGATTTTGACAGTTGTTTGGCAATGGCGGACAGTGAGTGAGGAAAATGCGATCTGATACCCAATCCCTAGAATCAAAATGGCTCCCAACCCGAATGAGAGGACTGTTAGTGTTGTGGTATATGATCCACGATTGAACCTCTCCCAACAAATTGAACCTCTCCCAACAACTCGAGTTATTGGGAGCAACTGGTTCTTGACATGGTATCAGAGCCTTGTGTGACCGAGAGGTCTTGTGTTCGATTCCCGATGACCCCCATTTGTTAAGCATATGATATTCTTGTCTTCAGACCTGTGTAAAATTCAAGCCCTTGTGAGTGGCTTTCGTTTGAGGGGGCGTGTTAGTGTTGTGGGGGCGTGTTAGTGTTGTGGTATATGATCCACGATTGAACCTCTCCCAACAACTCGAGTTATTGGGAGCAACTGGTTCTTGACAAGGACTACTAATGGTGAAATCATCGAAAAGATTGCATTTTTCTGAACACATTCAAGCAGGAATCGATTTTGAGCTCAAAAACCCCCCACCTCTGCAAACTACTCAGCTCGAACAATACCAAACTCGAAACCCTCCAATAATGCAAATCCAGAAGAGAGGAAATCAAGAGTTACCTCTGCACATCTTGAGCGATAGAATCTGGGTAGGGGTGTTGGTGCTTCAGAGTAAGATTGAAGAACTGGGAATCGACGGCATTGACAAGGAGAGAACTGGAAGAGAAGAAGCGGAGGAAGAGAATGCAGATGAGTGAGGAAAATGCCGTGTAAGCATCTCTACCACTCCGATTGCATCCTCCCCTGGCTCTCTCTCCGCAATTATTGCCCTGTCTGAGCAATAATAATAATACCTAAAAATGTCAAGTAGAAGGAGTCTTAGATTTCTTTGTTATTTTTATTTTATTTCAAGCACACCAAAAACCTAAAAACACACCAAAAATCTTGTAATGTAAACCATAAATCTCCTGAAACATATCAGAAACACCATAAAACACACCACAAATGTTTCTAAAGCACACCAGAAACCTCATAAACCAGACTACAAATCGCCTAAAACATACTAGAAACATCACAAAGCAAACCACAACTATTTCTAAAACACACCAAAAACCTCCTAATGCAAACCACAAATGCGATATAACTAACCACAAAAAAAGCATACTAGAAACCTCCTAAAACAAACCACAAGTCTCCTAAAACAAACTAGAAATTTCACAAAGCAAACCATAAATATTTTGAAAAGCACACTAGAAACACCCTAATGCAAACCATAAACACGGAAAAGCAAACCACAAAAAAAAACAAACCAGAAACCTTCTAATGCAAACCACAAATATATTAAAATAAACCAGAAACCTCACATGCAAACCACAAAAATTTTGAAAGAAAACCATAAACGTCCTAATGCAGACCACAAATATATTAAAACAAACCAAAAACCCCTCAATGCAAACCACAAAATTTTTAAAAACAAACCAGAAGCTTCTCAATGCAAACCACAAACACGATAAAACAAACCAGAAACTTCTTAATGCAAACCACAAACACGATAAAACAAACCACAAAAGACATACAAAAATATGAGAAACCAAACCATAAATCTCACAATGCGGACCATAACATCCGGTGGTCGTTGGCCGTTGACCGGTCAACGAAGTTCGTTGACCAAACTCCGATGACCGTCAGTGACCGGATTCCGCCGCCGATAAGCATATTCCGGCCCCGGTGACTAGATTCTGATGCCGGTAAGCATATTCCGACGCCGGTAAGCATATTCCGATGACAAAATAGCATATTCCGGCGACAAAAAAGCATATTCCGGTGACCGGCGACCAGATTCCGGCGTCCGGTGGCCGAATTCCGGCGACCAAAAATTTGGGCAGAAAATTAAAAAAAATTATTTTTAAATTTTTAATTATTATTTAAACATATTTTTCAGAATGACAATTATACCCCTGCTTTGATTTTACACTAGGTCAACTCATCTAATAAAAAGTCATCACAATCCTAGATTCCTATTGGTTGGAGGCTAGTGTTGTTACAATAACAACACAAGGGGTGTTGTCACACTATCTAGTCCCGTAATCAAGTTACTATTGCATAGTGTCACATCACAAGGGGTGGTCATTTGTAATTGACCAAAGTTTGGAGAGGTTTTATGCCATTAAGGTATTAATTAATTTACTACAATTGAACCCAAATCAATGGTTGTTCGACCTACTTCGATCCATTATAAGCGAGTTGAACCCAGTATTTACAAATTCGTGCTTTAATCATTGATTAACTTATGACAATTAAATCCAAATTGAACCCAAATCAATGGGTGTTTGACCTACTTCTACTCAGTTTAAGGCAAGTTAAACCCGGTGTTGAAGTATAATTTTTTAAATTTACATATTGGTCCAATGTTTGGATTTCACTTGAATCCATGAATACAATCCACCAATCCTTTTGAACCAATACATGGATTTAGTTTGGCTCAAGTATTCTTTTTCACAAATAAATAGTAACTCACATGTTAGGCTTTTAATATATATATATATGAATGAGCAAAGCCGATGATTTGCACAAAAAGCCGTAGACGAAAACCTAGCGAACAATAATTAAACACAAAAGTGTTAACACTACTAACACGGATTCTAACCAATAAGAATATTTCATTTGAATTACTTTTTATTTCTAAAGGTTCACTCCAATTAATTACAAATGATCAACAATGATAAATCAACGATCACCTTTAGCAAGAACACCCCTGAGGCCATCGCAACACTGATTGCTGACTATCTCAACATACCTCTGTCTGGTGGAGTGGGGAAATACCTTGGAGTTCCCACGGAGTGGGGTAGATCCAAAAAGGATGTTTTCGCCGGTCTTGTTCAACCTATGGAAAATCTGGTTCAAGCATGGAAGAGCCTTGCTCTCTCTCAAGCTGGCAAGGAGACCCTCCTTAAATCGGTTTACCAAAGTTACCCGACCTACGTGATGTCCTGCTTTCTGCTCCCCAAAAGAACCACCAACATCATGGATTCTGGACTTAAGAGTTTATTCTGGGGAGGAATTTTAGAGAAAGAATGATCCATTGGAGAAAAGGAAGTGTCCTTACAGCAGCCAAACAAGAAGGAGGAATGGGTTTCAAGGACATCCATCAGTTCAACCTTGCTTTGCTTGCCAAACAAGGATGAAGAATCCTGAATGAGGGTGGCGAAACTTGGGTCAAACTTCTTAAAGGTCTTTACTTCCCGAATGTGAACTTCATGGATGCAAGAAAAGGAAGGAAGCCCTCGTGAATCTGGTCTTGTATCTGGAAAGCTAAGAAGATACTCATGTTGGGGGCTCGAAAGAATATGGGTAATGGAAGGGATATCATCCTTGCAAAAGACCCTTGGATCCCAAGCATTCCAGGGTCTCGACTTCAAAACAATCAACGACAGCAACTTAAGGCTTTGGAATGGGTCAGGAATGATAGTAACGAATGGAACCTGGACCTTATTGATCAATCTTGCCATCCTGAGGAAGTCGAATCAATCAAAAGGATACCAATCGGTACGAATGACAAAAATCAGGAGCCTTCACTATCAAATTGGCTTACCATACTAGCAGGATTAATGAAAGAATTAGAACAAGCTCGGCAGACCCAAACCACCCTAGTTGCTCATCCAAAGCTTGGAAATGGTTATGGAGTCTATCCTTGCCACCAAATATTCTGAATTTCATCTGGAGAATCATAAGGAATGCCTTGGCGATAAAGGGAAACCTCTGCTTCCGAAAGGTCATTCAATCCCATGTTGTACTATATGTCAGGCTGACTCTAAAGACATTTGGCTATGCTTTTTTGGATGCCAACACGCCTGTTCCACTCGACATTCCAGTTACCCATTGCTGCAGCTCCCTCCCGCTTCAATGCCTTTGTTGATGTGGTTGTTCCACCTGCACGAAGCATCCCTTACATACTCTGCCATGGCTATTGTTGCGAACCTTTGGGCTATCTGGAATGCAAGGAATGAGTTTGTTTTCAAAGGGGTCAGACACACTCTCCAGGCTACTACAGCGAAGGCAGTCAACTATTTCACCAATTGGAACGGTATCCCCCCGTCCCTTCACCTCATTTTAACCTTGATCCACTACCTGGTTTCTTCCAATTAAAGATTAACTGTGATGGAACTTTTGCCTCGGAATCACAGTTGGTGGCTTATGGCGTTGTCGTTCGTGATAGCCATGGACAAGTGATTGATGTAAAGGCTGGTACCTTTTTTTGTTCAACATCGATGGTGGCGGAAGCTGAAGCCCTATTGACTGCACTCCAAATTGCTGATTCTTCAGGAATGTCTGCAATTGTTTACTTTGACTGCCAAGTTCTCACTGATGCTCTCCTTAGACAAAGGGCTACATGGCCATGGCATGTCAGAGCTTGCTGATAGAGCAATAATTACACATGTTTTTACCCCTATTCTTGAGCCGTTTGAGATGTTGATTCTCGTGTTTTAGGCCGATTTCACGCTAGGTTGTGCTTGTTTGTAATATTTCAGGTCCTAGTACGTGAATGAAGGTTTGGGAACGAGTTTGGGGTCGATTGGACGAAGTGTGGACGTTTGGCGAGAAGCTGGGAAGCCACACGGGCACCATTGCACCTCACACGGCCGTGTAGGGACCCCTTGTGGCTGTGTGAAGGCTCGGTAAAAGCCACACGGACAGCCTGAGGAGCCACACGACCGTGTGGCCTCTGCCCGTGCAGCTTGCCTGGTTGCCCACTTATTGAAATGTCGCGTTTGGACACTCGCACGGGCAGCTGGGAAAATCACACGGCCGTGTGTCCTGGCCGTGTGAGTCGGGAATTTCTGGTTTTAAGCCAATTTTGAGCCAAATGAGAGGGAGAGCTGGATTTTTGGATCCCAAACACCCAAGGGACGAACCCTAGAGAGAGAGAGAGAGAGAGAGAGCGACTTGGGAACATTCTTGGAGCTATTTTGGAGGATTTCTTCACCA